TAATAGCAAGCATAGTGTGAGAAGCCATGATATTTCAAGAAGTTAAGACGAGACCAGAGATAAGCGTATTGTCAGAAGCCATGGCATTTCAAGAAGATAAGACGAGACCAGAGATAAGCATAGTGTGAGAAGCCATGGTATTTCAAGAAGTTAAGACGAGACCAGAGATAAGCATAGTGTCAGAAGCCATGGTATTTCAAGAAGTTAAGACGAGACCAGAGATAAGCATAGTGTCAGAAGCCATGGTATTTCAAGAAGTTAAGACGAGACCAGAGGTAAGCACAGTGTCAGAAGCCATGCCATTTGGAGAAGTTAAGACGAGACCAGAGATGATAAAATAATGCCATCTTTCAAAATGAACAACAGAAGTTCTTGGAACGAGTTTACTAATAGCTGAGTGTAAAAGGTAAAATGTAAGATACTGATAATGTCTGCTTGGCCAGGGTCGGGCGTGGCCTATCGGGTAGCGTGCTCGTACTGTGATTCTGAGGGTTCATGGGTCGCATCCTATTTACGCAAAAACGAGCTCCACATTTTGGGGCCGTGGATGAACTATAAGAATGAGGATAAAATTGATTAGAGGAGAGTAGTCCAAGACTTGACAGTGGGTGTTGTTGACTAGCCGCCTTCTAACTCTAATCTATCGGTTCAAAGTTAGGGACAGCATAGCAGGGCGTGAAAATTCTGAAACAAACAAAGAACTGCCATGATCAAAACAATTTTCAATCAAGGTCTAACTATAATAAAAAAAAGAGCTACTGTTATAAGCAGAATTTCCAGCTGAAGCAAAGTGAGAGAACAACTGATATGACAACACATTTACCGCCAAACTACAGGAAAATAAACAATTTCCCAAGGTTAGAACGTGCTTAAAGTCGTGGATAAAATGTTGCAGTGAACTTTTCAAACCCCAGAAGATAGGCTACGATAAAAGTACCAACAAAAACAACAATAAAACGTATGGTGATAACCGTATTCGAACTGACCTCTCCGGTAGTAGTCATTCTCCAAATACGTGAAATGAAAGAGAAAACCTGAAACACGTACTTTAAAATGTCACAAGGTTTAATAATCATTACGACCGAAAAGTACAAGAAATTCTTCACGTTTACAAAGGTAAAATAAATGATAAAAATTATCAGTATAACGCATCAACATTACCACGGCTTTCTACTATTAAAAACAACCGAGTTAATAATGGTAATAAGAAGAACAGTCATGATGTAACACACATTCTTTTAACATTAGTCGAAACTTTTCAAAACACACGATGGTCATATCACTTCAGATGCAGCTACTAATACTGATTAAAATATTTTTTAACCAAATCTTATTAGAGGTTTTTTTTTACATATTTGATTTTAAATGCAATGTGTCTTTCGTTCATATGTACATTTGGATGAAAAGAAAGGTTTTCTGAACATCCCGATTGTGTTTAGTCCTAAACTGTAAATTTAGGGTTAAACGTTTTAAATCAAATTTACTTTCACGATTTTTTGTGGCTTTTTTTTCAAATACACAACAAAGGTACCTTACTTTAGTTTGAAGTCTATGTCACAAACTGTGAATAAATTATTTATGTAACCCGGCTTTCAAATAATAGTAGAAGACTATTAGCGTAAAAATAAGAAAAAGGCGCTATGTATAAGCTACTGTTTTTTTGTTTGTTTACTTTCACAGAAATATTTGGTCAAAGACGCTTCATTTTTTTTTTTTCATTTTCAGTATTTACTAGACCACCGTGACTCGTAGGGTCAAACACTATTCAGAGGTTATGAAGAATTCAAGCTAATTTCAATATTGCACCGAAATGAAGGTTTATTTTGAGATAATTTAATTAAATATTTCAATCCATTCGTGTTATTTATAATTCAAGAAAATATATTTGATTGTTGATCGGGAGTAAAAGGAAAGACCATTTTATTTTCAAAAAAAAGTGAAGTGAGAAGTTTCGTAAAGAGCGCGAACGGTAGTGTGAATGATTTTTTGACTGAGAAAATAAGCAAACAAACAATCTCAGAGTTTTAGTAGTCTATAGATAGATTCTTCAAGATCTTGTTTTTGTCATCTTACGGCTTTTAATGAAGATGGGAACATTGACAGGGAAATAATATATTAGCCAATGCTCGGCAAGAGGTTTTCGTTTATAAAATTGTGTTGTTGTTCTCGACTTGATTTTTATTTTATTACCTCCTCTCCATAGTTACTATTTGCATATAGTCAATAATATTGTAGGTCCATTTTATTGTTGTTCTTTTTATGCTCCTTTATAACACATTTTCAGCTCACCATTTAATTTCTGTTGTGCATATATTGTTGTATAGAAGATATTTTAAAGTGATTCATCAGGTGGAAAACAAATAGATAGATAGATAAACCGATATGTGGCGCTATCTAGTGTACCTAAATTCATCTAGAACTTTTCATAAAAATGATTCGAAAAACGGGGCTAACTCGGTAACCCGTGGCCCGATTTTAACGAAACTTGTTTTATTCTCTTTCTATTCTCAATTCATCACAAATATGGCGGTATTGTGCGCCGATTTTGCTGTATATAATTACAGACAAGCGCACAAACAAACAGTCTCAGAGTTTTAGTAGTATATAGATAGATTACGCCATTTTTTAACGGGTTTGGTGCTGTATTATATAATTTCCTGGAAGCCATTTCAAAATTTACAGCTGTAGGTGTTCAGTGTATCTTAAAAGCTAGCTAGCTGGTGGGCAACATGGAAGTACTATTCAAACATTTCGGACATCACAAAAGTTTTTTTACAATGAAACAGCTCTGACCACTGCTGTTAGTCGAGATAACACTGTATTCCCGCTATTTAATAATAAGGAGATACTTGCAATTCGACTTTTAACCTGTATTCTACTCGTAGACATTATGAAACCTGTCACAGGTTATCATACCCTACCTCCATGGTGATGAAGGGATCGTATGTTTGAGCAGGAGTGTTGATGAGACCACCGATCAGCTCATCCATCTTCCCAGGCTCGTAAACGATGTACGGTTGTCGCAGAAGAATACGAAGGGGGTCTTCTCCTACAGAAAGACAAAATGTATTTGAAATTAAGAACATACGAAGAAAATATTCTACAGAAGATCAAGACAATAATCGAAATCCATAAGATTATTGAAAAAGTGTTATTCTCTTGCGAGACAAGATCAAGAAGGGTGTGGAATGAATGTCACTCCAACAGGAAGACAAGAGGGTGGATGAAATAATGAAAACTAGTGCATTAATTGAAATCAAAGAAATCATGAAAAATTTCTTCTTCTGTAAAAAAAAAAGAAGAAGAAAAAACATGAATGAAATAAGGAAAGTATGCAAACTTCAGTCCTCCAGAAAAGCAAGACAGTAATAAAAGCCAAAAGGAGTTCGATGTTTTTACAGTAACTGAAATACAAAACATTGAAAGATAGGATAACGTACTAAATATGAAGTCCCATTTATTATTTGATTCTCTATTTGACACTAAATTATACCGATTTTGAGGAATTTCATCTCTCATCAGTAATCTTGGACAAGGGTAAATAAAATGAAGACTAGGGTTCTTATGGTGATGGTTTATGTTTTATATATGGTATTTTTATTTACCAAAGTTAACCTATATTCATATTTCTTCAATATTTGTATTTATAACTTTTTAACATCTATATAAGTATAGGTTTACTGTTGTGAGTAAAAGACTATTAAAAATACCACACAAAGAAAACTTTTATAACACTTTTTCTTTTTGTTTTATACGAAATGGGTAGTCAGTGTCTTCTTCTATAGTAAATGAAGAGAATTGAAAAGGTCTTCCCTTACAGAAAAACAAGACAAAACATTGAACATCAAGAAGGTCTTCTCTTACAGAAAAACAAGACAAAACATTGAACATCGAGAAGGTCTTCCCTTACAGAAAAACAAGACAATACACGAAATCAAGAACGTTGAGAGGGTCTTCCTTTACAGAGAAACAAGATAAATACACGAAATCAAGAACATTGGGAGGGTCTTCCCTTACAGAGAAACAATACAATACACGAAATCAAGAACATTGGGAGGGTCTTCCCTTACAGAGAAACGAGAAAAATACACGAAATCAAGAACATCGAGAGGATCTTCCCTTACAGAGAAACAATACAATACATGAAATGAAGAAGCGTATTATGATTGAAATGGACAAGTCAATAACGGAAACTAGTAAAACAACACCTATAAAGTGTTGAAGTTCCTTCGAGTTACTGTAAATGGTTTAACTCCATCAACATTTTTAAATATAAAAACTGTATTTGAAATGTTATTATATACTCTTCTTGCTGAAAACCCGTATTGGACTAATAAAAACGACCGTATTAAAAGTGACCATCATTCTTATTTGATATGTTATCACAGTTATTGCCCATTTAATTTTTTTTTTACCTACGAATTCGTGGTACTTGTTATATCTTCTGACCATTCCCTGGATGTGAGTGTGCCCAAACCTAAAGGCTGCTGCTTGGAAGGAGTTGGCCATTCCCATGTGCACGTTATCGTCGTATCCGTTCCAATAACCCTGCAAGAGTGCCATATCGTAACGTTAGATTTTCAAGAAGCCATCAAAACATGTTAGTTTTTATTACCATTTGCTCATCACGCTCGAACGTTAAATAGTTTGTTAGGTATCTTACCTTCTGATCTGAGTGTTAAAATATAACACGCACGGAATATAAGACGCACCCTTATTTTGAAGACAAAGTTTTGGGGAAAAAAAAGCTA